ACTTGTGAGACTGCGGGGGGCGAGGGTTGATGTTGGATTCAGTGAGTGCTCAACAGATGTTCAGTTTCTTCACCTTTTTCTTTCTAGCTCTCAACATGTAAATAAATATCAGAGTTGCCTCTACGTTTTGTTTCATTTCCAATGTGGAGAAACAGAAAGGGAGGCAAGCCGGCCAACACTGCTCGGGAGTTGTGACAGAGAGAGAACACGACCACTGCGGAACTCATCTAAGCACAGACAAAAGCAAGGCCACAGGGTCATTCATAAACAAACTCCCAGCACCCTACTTATTAGTAAAATTAGCAGCCGGCACTTCTTTTCTTAATCATAAAACTATCTCTGCTTTCTGACGACGTCCAGTACACACCAAGTCCCCTTTCCCCTCATCACCCAGCCAGAACCCAGATCCTTCACTGGGTTTTAGTCCCCTTACAGGATTGCCTCATGGTGCCCATGGAGTGTCCTCTCCCTCCTTGCAACAAAGAATAAACACCATTTGTTCAACTGGAGGGATTCCTGCGGCCTTTGGCTGAGTCATTGACTGGTGGAATAGTGAGGTGGCGTAGAATCTGCTTGGTTTAATTTATTTATGGGCACTATAAAAATGAAAAACTGCAGGGCCAGCAGGTTGCACAGTTGTTAAGGTGCTGGACTCTCACATGGTTGGCCATAGTTCTAGTCCTGGACCTGGTGGCTTGAAACTCACACCAGGCTCATGTGTGTGTGCACCCAAAATCTCGAGAGAAGAATGGAGAAGAGACTGTGGAGCTCAGTGGTGTGACGGACCTTCTCGGTGACATGTAAGCTGGTGGTTAGCCCCTGTTTTTAACATTGTGTATTGAGTGCTGATACCAAAAATGTAGCCAACAGCTGCTTTGAGGCCTTTAATCTAAGAGAACAAGGAATAGGAAAGTTCTGAAGATACTTTGAGACCGCCCGTGCATCCTGGCCTCAGGCCTGGCAGTGTGCAGACAGACAGGAGACGTTTAGTCTCCCTCCGTAACATCTCAGGTCACTGGATGAAAATCTGGACAGAGACCTGGAAGTTGATGCTGATCACGAGCCGTTCAGGTGACTCTGACACCAACCCACACTGAGAACCACTGTCTTGCGTCTCTGTCTGATTCCTTAAAGTTTATCTGATGTCTCCATCTCCTCCCTGAACTGCCACCATGCTCGGGGGCCACATTAGACAACTAATGCCAGGGTTCAGAGTCTGCTGGCGAAGTCAGGGCCACAGTAGGCATCCAGTGCCCTGATCTAGGACTAGAAAATTGGCCTTGCGCCTGGATTTCGCGATTGGCAACGTACAGGAGAGGTAGTTTCAAACCCGGCCTGGGACGGACCTCCGTGTGCCGGTCAGCCCACCGCGCGCTTTGGGCAAGCAACTTGCACCTCTGATTAAATAAAGGCTTTAATGGTTTTCCTAATAAACCCTACAGGTATTAAGAACTATCCCAGAAAACTATCTCCAAGACTAGCTACCCAACCAGCCATTGGCTACTGGTGCATACTCGACACTCTCTCATTTACACTAGCACGGACTGTCTAACCACTCTGCTTTCCCCCTCAGTGTCTCTGTCAAGAGCAAAGGCTGAACCGGCCTGTTTCACATCTCTTCCTACGAAGAATATTTGACACTAAACTTACAATGTCTCCTAATTAAACCTTCTGAGAATAAAAGCAAAATAATAACGGTAACACCTCTCAATTCTCTATAGACCATTATTTGACCAGTACAATTTTCATGAAGACTTGAGATCATGTATGTATCATGTCATTGCAACTAAAATGTTTGTTACAAATATTGTTAGATATGTATGTTTGTCTATGTGTGTATCTATACTATAAAGACTGAAATAGATGTAGTTAATCCTTATTGTATTATTAAAATTTTCCCTAAAATTCAATGAAGAAAACCAAAATATGCTTGTGGCAAATTTGCTTCTGGAGATGAGACATGAAGTAGGCCAAGTCAACAATTTCTCACAGTATGAGATGTCTCCAACACAGATAGCACCAGGATAGCGAGTCCCCTGCCCCATCAGAGGTCCCTGTGCTGGGTCCTGTGATCTTGAGTCCCACTGAGGGAAGAGGAGTCGTTGCAATCCAGGCCTGGCACAGAGCGCTCTAAAGGAGGGTGCTTGCGAGGTGTGCTTGCATTAACGGCTGGAGAAGAGTAGTCAGTAACCGGGAAAGTACCTAACGCGGTATCTCAGACTAGCTCCCAGTACTCCCAGCGAGGGGCGGCTGGAATCCAGAATACGTGGTGGTGTATTTCCCATGTGACTCCAAGAATAGAAGCAGGAATTTGTCCTTATGGAAAAGAGCGACAATTATATGGTCTTATTTATATGAGGGACCTAAACCAGTCAAATTCATAGAGACTGAAGTAGCATAGAGCTTACCAGGGCCTGGTGGGAAGGAAAGGGTTAGCATGATTTTCAGGAAGTACAGAGTTTCAGTTTGGAATGATGAAAAAGTTCCGGAAATGGAGAGGCTGTGGTTGCACAATGGAGTGAAGGCACTTACGTCACTGGACTGCACGCTAAAGGTATTTAAAACAGAACATTAACCTTGCTATAATTATATATAATAATATATATATATATATATTTCAAAGATGCTTTGGGGGCCAGTAGGTGGCATAGTAGTTAAGAAGCTGAACTCCCATGTAGCCAACCGGGCGCATGTGTGTGCGTGCCCCAAATCCTGAGGAGAATAGAGGAGAAGGGATTGCGGCATGGCCAGCCCAACTTGGAGCTGTGATTTCTTGCTTTCTGTTCCTCTGTCTCTCTGTCTTTCTCTAGCTCTCTGTCGAGTGCATCCACCCTAATAGCAAAAATCTCTCTAAAAACAAACAAATAAATAAATAAATAAATAAATACATAAATAAATAAATAGATGAGAATGCTCTGCCGAGCCTCTCAGCAGTACATGGGGAAGACAGTGGCCCTCGTAGCACTGGAGAAGCTTCCTCCCCAGATGTAGGTACGTTTCTGCCTGCCTGGCCTTGTTCTTGTCAGAGAGGATTGTGATAGGAACTTGGTTTGACATGCCCTAGCTGGGGCTTGGCATGTAGGGAGAGAGGGAAGAATCGGAACTCTTGGAGGTGAACGATAGAGGACCCTGGCCACATCGACTAGGTCACAGAGCGCGGTCTCTGGCCAGGGCCACAGTGAGAGAGGGGACGCTGTGAGAAGAGGAAGCGCAGATGCCACAACAGCATTCTCTGGCTTTGAACTGGTCCCCTCTACTGCACCGCGTGTTCTAAAGTTGTCATCAAGCCTTCTGCAGTTCAGAGGCCGGTGACGAAAGCTGTGAGCTGTCCACTTGTCTTGTCTGTAGGTTTTATCTGATCACATCCATGTCCATCATGTCCATCCGTTTACTTACTGCCTAGGACTTCCGCACTGAGACTGCAGAGCCGAGTCGTTGTAATGGAGATTGCAAGGCTCACAAAACCTGAAATGTTACTACCATTTACTCAAGAAAACATTTCCGTCAGAAAGAGGTTTGTCGGTGGCCCATGGCCTAGTGGTTAAGGGAGCCAGATTACAGACGGCCGACCATGGTTGGAGTCCCACTCTTGGAGGTTTGAGGAACACACTGGGCATGTGTGCATGTGTGCCCCAAATCTCAACCAACCAAGAAAGGGAGGAGACAGATTGCATGTGGCCACACCCCGTCAAGGGAGCAATCTGTCTCCTCTCTCTTCCTATCTCTCTGTCTCTCTCTGGCAAGTACATGTGCCCTCTGGCAATTAAAAAAGGTCAGAGATTTAAACAGGTTCTGTCCGAGAGGAAACAGAGGGGCCTCGTCCATCTTTTTGAGCCTGCCAGGGAGGTGCAGAGTCATCCAAGAAAGAGTCGGGGTAGCAGTCAGAGAGGGACACCCACTATCCATCCTGGATTTGCAGGACATGCAAACATTGCCCAGGAGTCTTGGAAATCCTTGGGGAGGGAACAAGGCTTCCAGTCATCACCTAAGTGAGGCCGTGGACCATGAAACATATTGGGGAAAGTATTTAGGATCTCGTTAATGAAGCTTTCGGTCTTTGGACTCTATGTGGGACTAATCTCAATCCTTAAGGTGATCTAGAAATATCTCCTCAGTACAAGCGCTGAGCAGGTGGGCGAATGGTGCTGTCAAGTATACCTTGGCCCTGCACGGACCGCCTTTGGAACTCTGTCCCAGAGCAGATGTCATTGCTATTTCTCTAACAGCTTCTGACGCGGAGGAGTGGAGGGAGGGGATGAGGTCTGCTGTACCCCCCCTCAGTAACGATGCGTCAACACAATACCAGATAGATACAGTCGTACAGGCTTCTCCTTGGTATTTTCTAACATTTTTAAATCTTAAAATTTAGATTTCCCCTGAGAAGTGAATGAATCACAAATTAGCTATTACGGATTTAACTCTTAATTTTTTAATGGCTTCCCCACCCCCCATAGAGTTGTAGGAAACCCCAGTGAATAGTGTTCTCGCTTCGGCATGAAAACCTGAATGGACAAAGTGCTCAATCTGAACTTTCTTTCTTTTCTTTTTTGGAGAGGTTTTTGCCATAGGGCACGTGTGTTTGCCAGGAAGACAGAGAGAGTCACAGACAAGAAGCAAGAAATCACCCCCCAGGGGGGATGGCCACACCGCAGTCCCTTCTTCTCCATTCTCTTGGGATCTTGGGCACGCATGCACATGTGCCTGGCTTGAGTTTAAGCTGCCGGGTCTAGGACTCGAACTGTGGTCAACTACATGGGAGCCCAGCGACATAGCCATTACACCAACTGCTGCTCCCTCAGTCTGGACTTTTTTATCAGGAAGCAAACTGCCTTTACTGCCCTTTGATCTGACTTTTGTCTCGCCCAGAGCATTACACATAATGCTCCAGCTTGGACAATCCCAGCTGGTTCTCGGGCCAGGAAGGGTGCTGACGCTGAAGGCGATGCTCTTCAACAGGTCTTTCTCCAGTCACCCCGTCCCATCGAGCAGGCAACCGGCAACCTCGTAAGAAATATTTCTTTCTCCTACATGAACTAGATTGAGCAAACTGCACTCTTCTAAAAATGTGGCTTAATCCCTAAGAATTGCAATCTTTATTTGACTGAGTGTTTTGAAATGGTTACATCCCAATTTGAAAACAGAACCAGTCTTTGGATTTAGCAACTGTTCGAGAGCACATTTGGTTCCCATTTTCAGTATCTATGGCACATGATGTCCATCATGGTGTCTTCCTTTTTTCCTCTCCCGTAGCCACTCCACGAATGTCAAATACCTACTATCTACCGAGCGCTGTTCTAGAATACAGAGGTGGGCAAGGGCATGGCTCCCTAAGCCATGCTTGCCATACGTTCATGAACTGATTCTGCGTAGGTAAGTGTGATGGTTGTCATGAGTAACAGCATTGCCATTCAGAACAAGATGGGGCAATAAGAAAGTCTAGCAAGTAGTTCAGCATAACTCATGGACTAGGTTTGGAGGCACTTTGCACAGTGATGTTTCAGACATATTTGACCAAGGATGGGATTTTTATGAAAGCTATTACTTTGAAGGATATCGCTGCTTTGCCACATATTCTAGTCTTCTTAAAATATGTAGACACATTATTGCAGTTGTAACGTGCTGTATCACTTAAACTGCTAGAAAAATACAGACTACACGGCAGACAAGCATCTAGAGGCCCACGGAGCCTTACATTTGGTATGCGCCTTTAGAAATCAGTTCATCTGGTGTCCTTATCCTAACTGGGCTTTGGGCCACTTTGAAAATGTGATAAGATCTGGCTATCTTTTTTTCTCATTAAAAAAAAAGAGAGAGAGAAAGCAAATTTTACATACACTCAAAATTTTGTGGACCATTTCAAGGGATTGGACAATCACCGTAAAGATTACCCGTGAACTTTGTTAGGTGGAGTGTCTCTGATCTACTCCTCTTCCATTTTGTACATGGCCGGGAGTGGCCTTGAAAAGCAGCGGGCCCACGGCCACATTCAGCTTGCCTCTCATCTTCGTACAGCCTGCAAGCTAAGAACGGCTTTTGCATTTTTAAACAGTTACACTTTTAATGCTTATATAAGTACCTATATTCCAGAGACCTCAAAAAGTTCACAGAAAAAATTAAAGTACAAGTTCATTTTGGTGCAAAGACTTTGAAATCCATGTTAGTTTTCATAGTATTCATACTCCACGAAGTTTTTGAAAACTCCTCATATTCTTTTTGGTATGACTTCTTGATCTGCAAAGCCTAAAATATTGACTTCCTAGCCCTTCATATAAAGAGTTTGCCAACTCTTAGCCTAGAATGGTAGACAATATTTCCCAGAGGACCAAAATTTATACCAACCAATTCCTCATCCATAGGTTTTCCTATTACTCCTATTAATCGATTAGAATATTGACTGGCTGTTTTCTTTTATAGCAAATTTAAATCAGTAAAGAGCAATAAACCTGGAGACCAAGATAAACATTTGTACTGTTGTGTAGAAAGCTGAAATCCAGAGGATGAAGTGATTTACCTGAAATCCTATCACAAATTTACACTAAACTTTCCAACTCAGGTTGTGTAACTGCCTCATTTTAAAAAACTTTTTATTATATTCAAATCCACATATTTTAAACACACTATGACTCATATAAAGGAAATAATAATATGGAAGTAATTTCACTTAGAGTAAACCATCTGAACAGATGTTCTTAATCTTTTAAATGTGATTTTAAAGATACGTTCAGGTTTTTCCTGTGACTTTAAATGAATGGAGTTGTAATCACTATCTCTCGTGCTGCTTTACATGTACTTTCTTTAGGGATATCAAAACGCCTCACTGTCAGTGTCTGCTTATAAATGACTGTACTGCCAGCAATCGAGTTAAATGATTTTCATAATGAAACATTACTGAGAAGATAAGCCTTTGAATAAGTGTGCAAAAAAGACAATACCAAGTCCCTTAGAGACCTCTTTGATATTTTTAACCAGTCTTTTTTTTTAACCTACTGTTATCAGATATGTTTCACCCTCAGAGTAGCGTGTCCTGCACATGAAAAGTAGAACAATTATTTCTGCAAAGGAGAAGTGGTCAGAATAAATAGGTCTGTTTTCTTAGCGAGACTGAGACTCTCTGCAGTCCCTGAATTAGAACTAGACTGGGTGCTTTCCTTGTGCATCGGTTTCATTCAATCGACCTGCACCCCCAGTGCTTTGCACTTACCTTGAGAAGCCAGAGCTCTCGGGGGAGGGACGTGCAGAGAAGGCTACATGTCTGACTTCCAAATCGGATTCTTTTCTACCAGCAGGGCTGCGGCACTTCCATGTCTGCATGCGCTCGCCAGGCCTGAGCAAGAGGAAGCTGAAGGGCTCAAAGTTCCTCAGCGTGTCAACACACCACAAAACCTCAGAGCCATTTCAAACTCGGCCCTCAGAAACCAAGCCTGTGAAGATGAACGGGCCAAACTGAAACTGCAGTAAGGCCAACTGTCAAGACATGTTTGTGAAGCCGTTATGACTACCGTGAGTCAAGAGTCTCCCATTTTGTTCAAGCTAGACTTTGTGAAAGATAGGGAAATATGACACTGACAAATCAGAAACGGAAAGGAAAGATGAGCTATGCATCGCGGTCAGGGTGAACGAACACACACCAAGTGTTTCCTTCTAGTGAAGGAAGATTTTACAGTTCTCTGTGACCCAGCAGTGACCGAGGGCTTCTACCCTTGTAACTTTTTTTTTTTTTTTACTGTAGATTATAGTAAATTTATTTATTTATTTTTTATTTTCCATTCATCCACTGTATGTCATTCCAGCATACAAAATGAATGTTCCCATCCAGAGTACACGGCATACTGGGTTTCAATGACCAGGTCTGTGATTGATACGTGACAACCACCGAGATGTGCCACTGGGATCACCTGACTAGGACTGCGAGTGCCACTACTTCCTCTGTGTAGGTTGGCCCGGAAACCAAACCCAGGCCTCCCACGTGGCCCAGCCCCACAGTGGAGACCCACGGCTTGCATCACCACAGACAGGCCTGTGACACTTACCATCACATTTTTCATAGTTATTATCTCCTTAAATATTGCTTCATCTAAATTCTTTCTCTCCTCTTTCTGGAACACAGACTCTAGGCATGTTAGGTATTTTTCCTGTCTTGAATGTCTTTTGTGTGAGTTCATGTCATGTCCATTCCTTTCTTGGATTGCCGTTCTTCAATCTCTATTTCCTACTGACCTGTGTTCCAGTTCTCTTGTCATCTTTGATTAGTCCTTGCTGATGATTTAATTTTAGTTATTTTTTTTTAGTTTTATCCTTTCCATGTAATATTAAAAAAGAGGTCCTGATATAAATTTTTCTGTATTTTTATCTGCTTTCTTCAAATTATTAATCATGGCTATTTAAAATCCATCAATTCCATATGTCTTTATGCAGTCGTTTTATTTTCTGTTTATTTTTCTGGTTTTGACATGCCTATGAACAGTTATTGAAAGCCAGACTTTGTTTATAAAGCGTTTGAGAGCTACTTGCCCGTTCTTGCCTTCTCCAAGGTGCTCCTTTCAGGCATCCCAGTAGGAAGTTGGAGAGCATTTTGAAGCGACCACCTCCCTTGGTGACCTCTAGACTCCACCTTTGCCCCTTGATTCAGGTGTTCTTCACGCCAAGCTTCTTGGTCATCCCTTCCTGCTCAATATCTCCACCTCACAGTGTCCAGTGGCACATAAGCACTGCCTTGAGCCGAAAAGCAGAGCTTAAAATCAGGCCCACATCTGTGTACTTCCCTTCTGAGGACTGTATTTATTCAAGGTCTCACTGCTGGTTTAGGAAGACTTCAAGCTGGTGGGTTTTTATCCTGTCCGTTTCTTAACGCTGAGGTCAGCCGGAGCCCTTGTCTGCAACAGCCCTCGCTGCAATACTGAAACCTCTCGCCCCAGTTACTGTGACGCTTGTAACATTTTATTCATATCTCTGAAAGAACACACGTCCACCGAAATGGAAGACTTTCCTGATGGAGAGGCCTTCTGTTAAAAAAAGTCAAAAGAACCTATAACATTACATTTAGAAAGAGAAATGTGAACATTGACAAAAAATGAACTGAAAAAAAAGTTGCCTAAGGTATGAGAGTTCTGGGATTTTTTTTTTTTTTTTTTGGCCACGCACAATCCCTTCTTCTCTAGTCTCCTCTTGGGATCTTCAGCATGCACGCACATGTGCCCGGTGTGAGTTTAAGTCAGCGGGTCCAGAGCTCAAACTGTGGTTGACTACATGGGAGTTCAGCAACATAGCCATTATGCTAACTGCTGGTCCCTGGGATTTTTTTTTTTTAAGAGAGATTTTTGCTATAGGGTGCATGTACTCACCAGAGAGACAGAAAGTGAGAAATCACCCCCAGGGGAGCTGGCCATGCCACAATCCCTTCTCCGTCATTCTCCTTTGGGGACTTAGAGCACACATGTATAGGTGCCTGGCATGAGTTTTAAGCACCTGGGTCTGGGATTCAAATCACAGTCGCCTACATGGGAGTCCAACAATGTAACTATTTCACCATCTGCTGGTCTCAAGTATTTTAGGATTTTAAAGACCAAAATCATCAGAAATTACCAAAAGTGTGAATCTTAATAGGATCCTGAAAGTAGAGAGAACCAAAGTCAGTATCAATTGGGTGCCTCTACAATTTATTTTTATAATGCAGAAATGGGAGCTGGACAGTGGTACAAAATTAACATGCAACACTTTGTGAGGTTGGCCCACATGGGAGAGTCCTGGGTCTGTGTCCAGATTCCTTCCTGAGGATGCTTGGTAGGCGTGTCCATGATCCTGCCTGAGGCTGACAGGCAAGACTTTGCTTTGAGAAGAAGCGCTCTAGGAGAGTTCTCCTTGCACATTATAAGCTCCAGGAGGGAGGAAGCACTTGCAAACACTGCTATGGGCTTTGCGAGCCCACCCTGAACTCAGCAATAAACAGCAAGACATCAGTGCCTCATGTTATTCCCTAGCTCCCTGTGTCTCAGTTTGACTTATCCTCTGGAGGAGGAAAGAACCTCACAAAACACATATGGATATGCAAATTCATTTTTTAGTGATAGATATTTTTAAAATTAAGTTTCTTCCTTTCTTTCATGAGCCAGAAAGAGAAAGAATGAGAGGTAAGCAGACAGACAGCACCCCAAAGAAGGTCTTAATGCCAGGTTTTACCCCCAGCTTCAGCTAGCCTAACCCACAGGCACCTGCATGGCCGGCATATTTAGGGAGGTCTCCCATGTGAGCTCAGAACCTTCCCGTCTGTGTCAGTTTCATAGAATGCAACATTTTGCTGGCATGCCACATGCGACTGACTGGCCCTATAGTGAAAGATTTTTGACAGACTCCTCTCAGTAACTACAGAACAAGCAGACAAGAATTCAGTATGGGACAGTAGCAACACAATCAATAAATGCCCTAATTTTTATGTCAATGCCAAGCAAATGCAAATTTTACATAAAATGCACAACTAAAATGGACCCAATGTTAGATGTAAAGCAAATCTCAAAAGATAGCAAAAGTTTTGTCTAAAGGTGGCTTGCTAAAACCAAGAGATGTTACAAGCCACTCCATGGTAGCGCACGGGAATTTAATGAAGGGTCATTTACACCTGGAAAAGATTGGGCAGAATGGCAATTCAGAAGCACTGGCTACTTCAGTTCTGGCTTTCTTATTTGGAGGTGTCTACCCGAGGCATGCCACCAGGCTTTTCCAAAAGAACTTGACTGTTGCAGCTGGCCTCAGAGCGATTTTGTCTCCCAGCTCCCAGAATCATCAGCCTATCTAAAAACCTCCTGGGCTGATGAGGGCTCATTATCCTAGCAACCACAGTAGAAACAGGGTAAAGGAGGGACTGGGATGCCCTTAGTAGGACAGGCAGCCACTCTCCTAAAGCTGAAGTTCTACAGAGTATGTTTTCTAACGGAAGTCAGTCGTATTTCGCACTTGCGATAAACGAGAAAAATATAAATTTGGGGCCAGAAAGTAGCATGGAAATTAAGGCAACTGGATTACACGTGGCCAACAGCAGCAGCCTGAGATCATGCCCGGCTGTGTGCATTCGTGTCCAATGCTGAGGAGAGGTTGGAGGAGAGGAGAAGAGGTGGAGGCATGACCATATCCCCTTGGGGTGCTTTCTCACTTTTCCTCTCTCTCCCTCTCTCTCTCTCTCTCACGCATGCTTTCTCTGTCTCCTCAGTGAGCACACACGCCCTATACTAGAAACTATATATATACACATACATGTGTGTGTATATACACACATATATTATATGTATTATATATACATATATGTGTATATATGTATACATATTAATACCAGTTAAGACAAAAATATTAAATATCTAGGAATACATTTAATCGTAGATAAGCAAGTCTTGAATATAAGACAATATAAAAATATTGAGACAAATGAAAAACCTCCATGAATGTAAGATTACATCTTGCTTTTAGATAGAAGGATTTAGTATCATGATCATGCCAGATCTCTGTCCAAATACCTATAATTGATGCTTTATTACTCAAAATCCCAGCAAGTATTTTTGTGGGGTTTAAAAACCTTATTTAAAAATATATATGATATTTAAAAGGCCCAAAAGTTCAAGACAATAGGTGAAAGGGAAAATATTTGAAAGATCGAACTACCAGGTATCGAAATTTCTTTAAAGATGAAATAATTAGGATAACTTATTGTTGGCACAATAATAAAGAAACAGGCCAATGGAGCAGCATAAAGTGCAGAAATACCTCCCATATACACAGACATTTAATTTACGCACATGTACAAAACAGCAGTGCGAAGCAGTGAGAGGCAAGAACAAAGGAAGGGAGTCGCGGAAGCAGGGAGAAAAAGCAAGAAAGACTAAACGGTGGGTCAGCAAATCATGCTGGGTCAATTAGACATTCCAAAGGGGAACCAGCGGAGTGTTCACTGCCTTCCTCACACTGTATGCCAAAAGAAGCTCTAAAAACGTGGTTGATCCAAATATGAAAAGTCAGCTTATCAGGTATTTACAAGATAACAATGCAGAATATCTTCACGACCTGGGGGTATAGAAGACATTATTTTAAGAATACAAAACTCCCTAACCACTGAAGAAGAGATCCATAATTTGAACTGTTTTAAAATTAGGTCTTATGCTAGTTCAAGACATCATTAAGAGCGTGGAAGGGCCAGCCATGAGGTGGAGGCAGATATATATAGTTTACATAGCTGATAAGGAACTCAGGTTGTGCATGGGTGAATGACAAAAAAGACAGAGAAGACAGAGATGAGTGTGTACAAAATACATAACGGTGAATGTGCAAAACCACATGCAATGCTTATCTGAGCTAGGCATTCACAAAAGGACAATAAAAACTGCTACAGAATGCCACTAATACACATAAGATGACTAAAGTTAAGGACTCACAAAACTAAGTGTTAGAATGTGGAACAAAATGAATTTTCATACATAGTTAGAGGGAGTGGAAAATGCTACAACTAAAATTTTCCTTTCTTT